ACGCCCAAAAATAACAATTAACACCCCCCCCCTAAATCCGCCCCTGCTCCCCTTTGCTAAATCATAGACCCGCCACTGGATATGGCTACGTACGATATAGCCTACATTTAATTTATTTATGATGCAGCATCGGGCAAAGCCTTAGCTTACACAGTGGAATTTTAATAAATTAATTTAACAACTATTTAGTACTTTGTATTTGCAGACTGACAGTAAATGTAATGTATTGAAATTCAGAATAGGCCTATCATCTAAGTCAAATCACTTGTTTTATTTTTTGCATTGATTCAAATACAAGGCCCATATTGTTTGTATTGGCTGTACGTGCCATGAACCGCTGTCTGCTTTATGATAGAGAAATAAATAAATGATATATCGTCGGTAGCCCTATCCAGTGGCGGATCTATGATTTAGCAAATGGAAATGAATAATTTGAGGTGCGAAACACGGAATGGGGAGGGGAGGGAGGGGGTTGTGTTTTTGCAGGGGCGGATCCAGAGATGTCCAAAAGGGGAGGAGGAGCAAGAGTTGGGCCGATCCAGACAAAACTGACCTAGGGGGTCCGAGGGCATGCCTCCTCGAAATTTTTGTGTTCTAGACGCCCGAAAATAACATTTGAGGCGTTCTGGGCTATCATTTTTTTCTTTTTCTTTCTTTTCTTTTCTCGTTTTTTTACCTCCCAAAAGGAGGGGGCGGACGGGGCCTGGCCGCCCCCCCCCCCCCAAGTTTTGGGAAGGGGGAATAATTTCCCCTTACATTTGAGATTTTTCTTAGAATTAGTAGACGCTCTTAGATGGCATCCGAAAAGCTTAAAATAGGGTAGCCTTCTATTCTACACGTACCATGTATTTATGAGAAACACACACACACACACACACCCACACAAAACGAGTGATCATTTGTTTAATACCCGAAGGGAAGGGGTTGGCAGCCAACCTATTCATTCTCTCTAGTTCCGCCAGTTAGTGCTTTAAACTTTAATGCACAAATCTCTATAGGCATTAACATTCATAAATAAAAACCTATACACTGTGGATAATTAATATTAATAATAATATTATTAATAATAATAATAATAATAATAATAATAATGATGATGATAATTATAATAATAATAATAATAATAATAATAATAATAATAATAATAATAATAATAATAATAATAATAATAATAATAATAATAATAAGTGAGTAGGTCTACTATTGATACATAATTTATTATTGTTGTTAGAGTGATTTATTGTTAATTTGTTTGGTTTGTTAATTTTCGGAAGGGTTTGTCTTGTGTTTATCATTTTAAAAGTATGTTCAGCTTGTTTGACGCCCAGGGTTTGTTTGTATTATATTGAAACCGTTTTTATGACTTGTGATATGCTTCCACTTATGTTTCTATCCCTGATAAACAGCATGCCGTTTATTTACTGAGGTGACCGACAGGTTAATTACTTACAAGTACTACTCAACTTCACGCGTGGTCCGATGTCCAATATTGGCTCATTGACAATCAAGAATTGTTCGTGGTTCCAGTCTGCATCTGTCGTTAAAAATGCAAGCAGAAACGGTAAGTTTTCATCTATTTATTGTTTCCCGGTACAAAAAAAAACCGAATGTTTAATGAGTAAATTGGACTAGTCTTACGTTATAATAATATCATTAATCGGTGTAAGCCCATCAGCAATATGGAACCTCTTTGGTATAGTACAAATTTACACGTGAGATAAAACGATGTGTATTAAAATGCCTCTGGCGGGACTCGAATCTGCGACCTCTCGCTGTCAAGGCGAGCGTCATAACCATTAGACCACGGAGGCTTCATGGTTGAACAGATTCAAATACCACTATAGATACACTCCATTACACAATAATTACGGCTAGAAACAAATAGTTGCATATAGTATAAATCAAGATAGCCGTTAACACTGTTAATTATATAATAAAATCATCAAAGGAAGGTAAATACAGTGTTAGAATAAAGGACATAATAATACATCGTGTAGCATAGCTCTCAACGAATGTAGCCCTGTAAATAAATGAATAAAGAAATTGTGTAATAAAATGCCTCTGGCGGGACTCGAACCTGCGACTATCTATCTTTTGGGCGAACG